GTATTTTATGGTTTCAAGTCTTACATATGTATCTTAAATCCGCTTTTTTGTATATGGTGTAAGACAGTGGTCTGTTTTCATTCTTTGCACAAGCTTGTTCTACTTTTGTTGTTGTTACTGTTAGTTCTGTTTTGCTTTTGTACCATTCCCAGCTGTCATATGGGCTTACTCCTAGATCTGTGCTCAGGGATCACTCCTGTTGAGCTTAAGGAACCATACGTGGTGCTGGGGATCACAGCCAGGGCTGCTGTGTCCCACCTGCTATACCATCACTTCTGCCTCTGCCTGTTTTACTTTTTACAACATAAATTGTTAAAGAGACTTCCTCCATTGTATATCCTTAGAATCTGTGTATGAATCAACTGTCGATATATGTGTTGGTTTACTTCTACATTTTTATTCTGCCTCGTTGATCTTTAAATTTCCTTACTGGCCCAGCAGTTTTTCAATAAATTATCATTTAGTCTTCATATATGTGAGCTTTACCTATGGTTGAGCTTATTTCTAATTTAATATCATTGGGATTAGAGAAGACGATTTTTAAGATACTTAATGTCACTTCAATCTTCTTAAGCTTACTGACACTTATTTTGTGTTCTAGTACATCCTGGAGAATGTTCCTCATATCCTGAGAAGAATGTGTACTTGGCACTTTTGGGGGTAAGGTTGGTTGAATATCCTTTTAGTTTCTATTAAGTACATCTGGTTAAATTTAATAATTGTAGCTGCTATTTCCTTGATGATATTCTGTCTGGTTGATCTGTTCATTGATATAACAATGTTATATCAATGTTGAAGTTTATTTATTACTGTCCACAGCTGTTAATGTCTTGCAGTCTGTCAGTCTAAAATAATCCTCACATTTTTTATTTCTTTTTATTTATTTTTTTAGATCCCTTCCATCATCGACTCTGTCCTCTGCTTTAGCACGTCTACTGTTGAGCCCTTCTAATGTAATTTTACTTCAACTATTGTATTCTTTACCCAATGGTTTCTTTTAGGGGACTTTTTCATATCCCCTCTGTCCCTTTAGTTCTGTATTTGTTCACTAAGACTTCAATCACCACAACACCTGCTTGCAAGTCAAGTCTCAGTCTTTGGCTGCTCTGCTCTTGCCTGAGCATCAGGAGTGGAAACTCGGAGAAGCCTGCAGAGATTAGAGCTGGGCTTCAGCTAAGCAGTCACTTGCTGCCTGTGGCTACCTGGGAAGCACTGCCAGTGGAATGTGCCTTGAACTGACAGTGATCTAAAGTCTTCCCTCAGTTACTACAATCCCTAGAGAGGCTTTTGCCCTTGGTTCTCTATAGCAGCAAACTCCCCCACTATCTTCCAAGCCCCTGCCTTCTGGGCTTAGTTCTTTAGCCACCACTCAGCGCAGGTTCTCGTGTTCCGGTTACTGTGACTGTGATGACGCTACAGTTTATACAAGAGAAAGCAGAGACATTTTGTTACAGAGCAAGGAGAGAATTAGAGACATATTTTTTGATGTGCTATACTTGGGCAGTTTTATATGCCAAAAGAAAGAACCAATGGAAAAGCAGAAGTTAAAAAATGAAGAAGTTCTTGAGGAATGTGTTCTCTGAGAAGGTGATGATAGGGAATTTTGAGCATAAAGAGGCAAGCGGATTGGCCTTACATGAAACAGAGACTACCCACTTACAAGCATTTTGTGGGGGAAAGGTAAAATTTTAAGAAAATGCAGGAACTTACACTATTGGAAAATCAGTCAGAAGCTGAGTAAATTTTTGCTGTTCATTTTAGTGTGTGTGTGTGTGTGTGTGTGTGTGTGTGTGTGTGTGCATGTGCGTGCGTGGCAAAAGCACTGTGAGAGTCAAGGTGAAGAAGAAGCTCAAGGCCTCTTCCTAGGGACTGCATGCATGAAGAATAAAGGGACTTTCCTTTCTGAGAACAGGATCCCTGGGGAGCAGGGATCTAGAACTGAGCACAAAGGAAAGAGGCTTCTGAAGGGGGCACAGACCACAAGGAAGCACTAAAGCTTTCTGAAACTAAAACCTGGGTGTGATGAGCAAAATACGGTCCATGAGCAGAGATGCTGAAGATGCCTTCTTGAGGCTTTCCTTAGCCACAGCAATTGCTGGCACGAGTGGGTGCTCTCAGAGAAGAAACCAAATGGAGTGTAGGGTGATCTTCCTCCACCAGAGATTTCTGTCACTTTTCATGACTAGCAGACCAGACCATCACTCAGTAACTTCTGGAGTGTGCACATCCAGGGGAAAGCTTGGAACTTATAGAGCACAGGGAGCAATCTCATGTCCTCCTGGGCTTTTTTAGAGCCAGATCTTGCAAACCTAGAGAACTGTATGCATCTTTCCATCTTGGCACCCTGGGCATCTCAAGCTCACCTGCTTTGTAACTTCAGGAGCCCTGACTTCCTGGGAAATCTGGAGCCCTTGCTGAGAGATGGATGATGGCACAGCTCCCTCTTAAAGTTTGTCTCCAGCTAGTTTCTACTATCCTAGATGCTGTCCTTCCTTCCCACCACTACCACTGGGCTCCTCAACTTCTAAGCATACTTTGATCTTTTCATTTCAATGAGCATCGCTTAAAACTGCTCTGTGAAAGCTTTCATTTTCCTAGTTCTGATGTGACAGCCTTGTGCAGGCAATGAAAGTTTCAAGATGATTTCAAGATACAGGCCAAAGGTGTTGGCCTGGAATGCTGGGCTCTCTGTTCTTGTAGAAACTGTAGCTTTATCATCAATCAGGATGATTGTTGTACTTATGGTAGCTAAAGAAATCATATGCTCAGTACCACAAGAGTGAGTTTTGGGAGGACATACAGGACAGTGCCCAGGGCTTACTCCTGGCTCTAAACTCAGGGTAACTCTTCACAGTGCTAAGGGAAACTAGAGGTAGTGTCAGGAATCGAACTCAGGTTGGCCGCATGCATCGCAAAGATTTAACCTGCTGTACTCTCTCTCTCTTTCCAGCTGCCAGAGTGATTTTTTAAGAGAAAAATCTGCTCCATTTCTTGTATTCCTCCTTCATTTCCTGTGATTTTTTACACTCTATTCTATATCTAATTCAGTGAAGTTAGCTAAAATCAACCACAATTTTCCATAGCATCTGTAAGTCTTTGTACTTATCATCCTCTCTGCTTGGAATTGATGAACGAGGGTGAGTCCAACTCACCCTTCCAGAGCTTCACTTATCTCAGAGGTAAGTAAAGTGCATTATAAATATAATTTAGAAACAATTATTTTTGGGGAAAAGGGGAGAACTCCCTACCATAAAATGTTCCACATATGGTTTTGAGTGGTGGTTCCTTTTGTGTACACAACTGTCAAAATTCATCAAACTAAGTAGAAAAAATATGTGCATTTTTAGTATGTGTAAATTATATTTCAGTTAAAAATACAAAATGTGAATAGCCTAAAAGTCTTATTCTATATGAGACTTGTAGCATTCTCTTCCACTGTTATATTGTGGTTAGAATCCTTTTAATGTTTTCTACCATCCCCATCATTGTAGTATTGTTGGGATATCACACACACAGTAGTATATGATTCCTAAAAAGAATCTACAAATATTTGCAGTGATACTGTCAAAATAAAGCATATTTTGACCTAAAGATAAACAAGTTATATTATGAATATTGATATTGCTATCAAGTAAATCTCATTTTATTTGCAGAAGTATAAGTATTCAATTACTAGCAATTATCTAGATGATAATCACATACTGAAGCTCAGAAGTAAAAAATATGGAGTCAGGATTTAGGAGACAGGAGAACACAAATATCTGAATCCCAGTTTTCTTATCTGTAAAATAAGTGCAACAGAAAGACAATCTTCATAGAGTTGTTGTGATGATTAAATAATTGTAAATTAAAAAAACTGATGTAAAGTATTGGCAGTATATAAGTCTTAGCTATTATTACTAATGAAGTCTGGTTTCCAGGCACAAAGACTGATGTGAAAACATAAGTCAACAGAGGATACGTGGGATAGGCATTTGAAAATTTTCTAGAATGAAAACACAGACACTATACTGAAACACACAGTCCTTTAGGCAACTTTAAAACATAGCTATTAACCTTAACTCAAATGACAGGAACAAAGGATTAAGGAGTTGAGAACTATAAATTATGTCCCTAAATAGCATTATTTAAAGAAAATGTGTACTTTATAAAACATTTTAAAATCCACTTATTCATTACATTTATTGACTATCTACTCTAATGTGTTTTCCATTAAGCCAAATGCTGTACTAAGTAATTAATATTGCCTATATGTATGAGGGTAAATTATTAGGGATTAGAAAACACTAGTTCCTACTCGTGGAAACAACAAACAACTGCTCTGAATGGTGAGTTGGTAAGGTGGTAGTTCAGCACAATAAGGAATCAGAGAGTTAAGAATTCACCTCAGAACCTTGGAGAGGCTAAATCCAATTCCTTTCCTTTCCCTCCGCAGAACCTCAGAATTACTGTGGTCCTGAGCTACTTAATGAATGAGAGATACTCAAATCCTTCAATGGTCCTTCAGGGAAATAAAGCTCTAATCCTGCATTTCTCAATTGAAAGCCAGATGTCTGTTCCCTGTGAGCACCAGAATATTTCAAGATGACTAGAGGTGCAAACTACCTAAACAGAGAGCTATGTCTCAGTCTAGGGGACCCAGAATTAGACTGGGAGTTCACAGAAAGCAAAGAACATCAGAAGGAAAAAAAATAAGAAACACTGCTGAATACTAAAATACTGGTCTAAATTATACACTTAAACCAAAGCACTTGTTCTCATTCTCCCCCTTTATTAATTTGCTTAACTTTATAAAATTAATTGAGTTTTGATTGGGTGATGAGGGGAGAGGTAAATCACAAATCAAGAGATTCAACTAACCAACATTTGCAGTTGGTTGAGTCCATGAATACAGAATATTCTTACAGGGGAAAAAATCCAGATATAATGGAACCAATGGAGTTCAAAACCATGTTCTACACAACTTTGTGACCCAAGAGCTAGAAGATAAAACCAATTACCATGATCTTGATCTGGAGCCTCCAGGTTGTATCCGTACCCCAGCAGTGTCCGCACAGCCTCCCGGAGGCTGTCCTTATTTGATTTCTTTGTTCTGTCATCCAGAAGGGTATAGGGAACGAGACGAGGGTTTCTTCTGTTCTTTACATCCTACAGAAAGAAAACGGTCTGTTGTCATCAAAGCAATGGCCAAAGCATTTGAAAATGAGGCAGAGACTAAAAACAGTTACCTATAACATCTATAAAAAGGGTTTAAAGGTAGCCCAGCACCTTCCCTTCATTTCTTGTATTACAAAAACAGCTGAGCTTCTATAAAGATTTAATCAAAATAATAAATTGCCCATTTGAAGCAGATACTGTCCATGAAAAGAAACAGAAAAACTAACAACAGCAATGACCAATATTAACTTGAAGAATCACTTTAACCATATACCATCTGCCAGGATTACAAAGCAATGAATGAAAGAACTAAAGAATAAAATGATTTCCTTTTCTATTACTAACAAATCTATGTTACAAAAAAGAGTCAAATTGGTACTGGTCATCTTGTATTGATTTTTTGAGAATGACAATCTGATGCTGTGGTACTTCTTGAGAGAAAACTTTGCATACTATGGTCTTGAGTACTATTCTTTGAACCTCAAATAGCTTGAAACTTATGCATTAAATTAGCTCCATCAATTGCGGAAAGCAGCTAATGCCAGCAGTAGTAAAATCAGTGAAAACTTAAAATTAATCTACTGTAAAAGAGGTACCAATTTTAAAATGTGGTTAAAAACAACATTTGGGCTGAAACTCTAGTACAGCATATCTCACATGCAGCCAATGTGATTCTATCCCTGGCACTATATCTGGCCTGTCCAGCACTACTGGAAGTGATCTCTGAGTTCAGAGCTAGGAGTCAGCCATGAGCTAAAAACTAAAAATCAAAACAAGCAAACAAAACCTACATTGGCTAAGCAAGGAAGTGGGGCATCATCTTGTGCTGGGAAAAAGAATGTCTAATTTTAGAAACAGTATAAAACTTCTTCTTAAGGAGGTGGCTCTGTACGAACGACTGCAAGGCTTTTGGACATTACCACTTAAGGGATGGCATCTTGGGTTAAGGTGAATAGTCAACTGGTAGAGTACCAGGCTTGCATGAACTGGGCCCTGAGTTATGTCTGCAGTAGCACATTCCCCATCCTAACACAAAGCCCTGCAACACCAGGCCTAGAATCACCACTAGTGGCTCTGCCTTCTCCTCCTCTATGCCTATCCACCCACTGCTGGGTTTTGGTCTATGAAAAAGAAAGAAAGAAGGAAAAAGAATGTCATTTGTTCCCATCCCCTTGTGAAACTCTGCTGCTGTTTCAGTGAAGCTTCTGTGAAGCTTCTGTGGAGCTTTCTGCAAACTCAGTTCTCAATTTACCTTGGCCTGGAAAGGAATCAGGAGACTGTGAATATTACCCAAACTTATAAAAGAAAACAAGCTGTTTGATGATAATTTTATGTCCTAGTTAGGAAACAGCAAGGAAAACCAGTTCATCCTTTTATTTCCCCCATATCTCTGGCAAATTTGTACTAAACGCCTCATTCTGAATGGATGAACACCAACTGTCACCTGGAGTCAAAATTATTTGGGTTGTATGTCAGGGAGACATCCCAAAGATACCCTATGTACACAATCAGTATATTTAAAAAAAGAAGCACTGCCAACACTACTTCTAGAAACCTCGTACTATCCCTCTCTATCAACATTTTACTGTGCAGAAATGATTTCCTGGGAATCGGACTGTTGAAAAGGAGTCTGCCTGGGATTTCTTGCACAAATAATGTTTAACATCAACTCTGCTGGTGGGAGAGAGGGGAAGTAATTCAAGCAAACTCCTGTTCTTAAGGAGTTTACAATGTTAACAAAGAAGATAATTAAAAAGTAAAGACAAGTATCACCCCAATAAACATCAAACCATGCTCTGGGTTTATCATGTTTTATCAGTAAGGAAAGTGCAGGAGGGTTTGGCATAGGAGAAGGGAGAGGTAATGGTGAATTGGTTCCAGAGAGAGACCTTTGGCTTGTCGACAGAATCTTGTGTTGCTATGAAGAGAATAAACTAGGGCATTTGAAGGAAGAGACTGCATACAGAAAGTAATGGACTTCGGAGAAACCTGGAAGTCATGTCATCTTCAAGCTGAGCCCTCCTTTGATAGTTCAGGTTCACAAGTGCACATGTGCAAATATACACAATGAGTAAACTTATTTAGTGTTGACATTTTCATAAGTTACAATGCATTTCATTCAGTGTAAATATGCAAAAAATTCTATGAGTTAAATCAAGGGTATTTGAGATTTCTTTTTTTACTCAAATGACAAAAGTAACTGAACTCAAGGATTGGGAAAACACATTCTTTAAACTAACATTTAAACTTTATTCTGAACTACAGTGTAAGTAACAATTCATGTGTATCTCTGAAAATTGCAACATACAAACAATTCATCAAGTTATATTCCGTGAAGACTTTTGACTCTCAAAATGTTCAATTTCTACCTAGTTCAGCCACTAGCTGTGTAACGTCAGGGACTTTTTTCTCTCTCATTGTATATCATTTGCAAACTGAGAATAAAAATCACTCATATGTCACAAAATTGTGTGAGAATTAATGAAAAAACAAACCAAACCTAACGCTAAGAATAATGACTGACATCTAACAACAATGGCCAATATTTTGCATAGTACTTGTTTGGCACTATCATAAGCCTTTCTCAGATGTGGTATATGATGAAAATAAAAAAAAAATGTTGACAAGGAAAATAAGTATCCAATGTCCAAACTGTCACCTAGAAGCATGGCTGAATTTTACTCTCAACCCTTTCGCTATGCAGCCTCAATAAATACTCAGCCTGCCTTTATTTTTTTTATTTTTTATTTTTTAATTGAATCACCGTGAGATAAGGGCCGCAAGACTACTCCACGGTTGGAAGCCTGCCTCGGTCTGTTTTTTAACTACCACAAATGTCACCATTAATAGAGATGCATGTTTCTGAAATCCAGAAAACACTGCAACTTTGTATTTACAAGTTTAAACTCATTTGGTGGAAAATAATGATCTGCATTAATGCAAGTTTGTTTATAGCCTCTATTTATCCCTCTTGGTATTATTGTGCCTACATTGTACTGAACAAGGTAATTTACAGTCTCTTGCTCTGCTGAGGGTGATATCTAAGATGAAATACATCAATGAATTACCATTCTAAAAGCCCCCAAAAATCTGAATTCTGAAATTCAGCTGAGTTTTGACTTAAGAATAGCATGCCTATTTTTTTATTGCTTTATAGAAATCTTCTCATATTTCAAAAGTTTTTTCCTAAAATATAACCTCACATGAAGAAGTGTCACACCATTGTATAATGAATCATTCTTATGATAATGTTCACTCTATACATCATAACAGCACATAAAATTATACCATCTCACTTCTTGACTCCAGCATGAAATTGGTCCTCTAGTACACCTGTACATTAACACATATAGAGTAATTCTGAAACAGTAATTATTAAGTATCTTCTATTACAAACTATGCTAACTCCCTACAAAGTTAAATATAAGCAGAGGAATTGTTGGGCTAATTCCCTTGTACCTGTTGGATGCCATAAGTCCAGCCCTGCCGTATTCGATCCCGGGCCCATACATTATGAGCATTTTCTGCCAACTTGTCCACCATTGCTTCCTGAGATGGAGTGAGTTTGACAAAACTAAGATCCATTGGTGCAGGCTTGTATCCACTTGTCAGCTGGTAACTACAAATCAAAGCAAAAATATATGATTAGTATTTCCACAAAAGCTAAGTTTGGGGATTTTGTTGTTGTTGTTGTATTGTTTGAGATCTTTTGTTTTGTTTTTATTTATTTGGGGGCAATGACCACTGGTGCTCAGGTGTTACTCTTGGCTCTGAGCTCAGGAATTACTCCTGATGGTACTGAGAGGACCATGTGGGATGCAGGAAATAAACCTGAGTCAGCAGTGTGTGAGGTAAGTGCCCTACTGACAATACTATTTCTCCAGTCCCAAAAGGTAGGATTTAAAGTTTCTTATTCCCTATTACTCCCTTAAATGCAAATATTCTTACAGTGGTAATCACTATAAATGAGACACCAGTCACCAAGCCTAGGACTCATTTGCATAACCTGATAACTCGTTAGAAGGAAATACCACATCATCTTTCTGTTTTCATTTCTATGCTAACATAAAAAGACAACATACCAAGCTCTCAGTGCTGAGAAAGATTTATCATTATGTCCCTAGAAGTTGGAATATTAGTATATAATATGAAACATAACACTGTGTAGAATATAAAGCTTTTGTATAAAATTTAAATATTTGATGGATTGGACTTCTTTTCTCATTAAGATCCCATTTTTAAAGTTCTCAATATTATATAAATGTAAATTTATTTCAGAAATCTGAGTATACTTTCAAGAAACTAAAATTTCATCATTCTATAGGGAAATTTTAATGAATTTTAAAATTATCATCAATTTGTTATTTCTTCTGTCATAATAGGAAGTCTACAGATAAGACAGAAGCTAGAAAAGTATATAATCATCTAAAATTATTAATGGCCAAGACTTTAGGAAATCTTATTAGAAACTATTTTCACATTCTGATGTGAAATATGATGGTACTAAAACATGTTGGTCGGTCCTCCCATTGTTCATTGATTTGCTCGAGTGGGCCCAGTAACGTCTCCATCGTGAGACTTGTTGTTACTGTGTTTTGCATATCAAATACATCACGGGTAGCTTGCCAAGTTCTGCTGTGCGGGCGAGATACTCTCGATAGCTTGCCGGGCTCTCCGAGAGGGGTGGAGGAATTGAACTTGGGTCTGCTATGTTGGCCACTTGTAAGGCAAACGCCCTACTGCTGTGCTATCGCTCCAGCCCACTAAAACATGTACTGGTATTAATACTTTGAGGGAAAAAATTGGAAATATAAAGCTTCCAATACACATATGTTAGCTCAGTAGAAGCACTTTCCTGTGTCACACAGGTAAACGAATAGAATGAGTTGTTTTGCACTACTTATAATTACAGAAACAGGAACAAAGCTGATTTTATAACATTTTTTCCTTCAGTCTCCTGACACAAATGCATTCCCTCTAACTGACCATGCATTGAGGTCCAGATCTGTTTCTGATCTATTTTTCCAATTGCCATTATACTAAATATAATACCTGGCAGATCTTATCCTTCTAATCTATTTTTTAAATAATTATTTACCAGATTAATACAAAATCTCCTGCCCCTGAGTCAGGCTCTCTTCACTAGGGCCCCTCAGAGGGGGAGAGAGGTTGAGTTTCCCTCCCTGCCCCGAGCAGAGCCCCGGCAGCCGAAAACCTCCAGAACCCAGCCACAGCCATGCTGAAGGCCACTTTCCACATGCTTGGACGAGCCTCACCCATGAAGGAACCGGCAGAGAAACCCAGGTATGCAGGACCCAGGGCTGAGATCTCCAAGCCTGCTCAGATTGGGACTGGGCCTCCTCCACCCAGATTCCCAGTTTTCCAGTAGCTTGGCAGTCACACCCATAAACTGCCCTCAGTGCCATGTAATCCCATTAATGGCCCGGATCCAGAAACTATAAAACAAAGCTCCCAGAAGAGAGCAAAGCAGTTTTTCCTTGAGCCTCTATCCCGCTCAGAGAGCCCAGCAAGCTACTGAGGGTATCCCACCCGCATGGCAGAACCTGGCAAGCTACATGTAGTGTATTCCATATGCCAAAAACAGTAACAATAATGGGTCTCACTTCGTGTTCCTGTAGCAAACAAACACCACTGAGGTACACTAGCACACAACAGGGACAAATGGAGACGTTACTAGCTCTCGCTTGAGCAAATCGATGAACAACAGGATGACAGTGCTACAGTGATATACATGCATCTTCATTTCAATGATTCTCACTTTGTACAAAGAAAAGTTTTACTGAGTAGTTAACTTTAAAAAATGATCAGAACACAAGAAAAAAAAATTTAGAAAATAGTATGCCATTTTGACCAGAGTATGGCTAACATTATTATTATAAGGTAAAGTCACTGTGATGGGCTTTACAGAGATTTTAACTGCTTTCTCAAAAGCTACCCTCCAAATCTAGAACATTGCCAATACTTGCTAGGCATTCAATAAAATTTGTTGAAGGAACCAATGCATAACAGAAATAAATAATTTTTAATCTCAAATGAAGTTAAATTTACCTCAATTAACCCTAGTTCAGTATAAGACAGCTCTGATTTTATAAATGATCTATGTATAGACAAAAGCTTTAGAAATATTGTGTTTTGTTTAAGTTGATTTGATTGGTCTAGCAATTGCAATAATTATGGATAATTACTGCCTGATTCCATTCAATTTACATTCACAAGCTAAATTTATAGACATGAAATTTTGTTCTATTTTAAATAAAAACTGTGCATTTTTGGATGAGTAACAATACTTTCTGTGTGTAGTTTATTTTAAATAAAAAAGATGAGGCTTTTTTTAGATATTCGAACTATATTATTATAGAATTCTAACATTTTCAATAGACTAAACTGTACACTGTAAGCACAGTGTATACACATTCTCATTTGGAAAATATTCCCTTTAAGAAAAATGACTATTTTTTCAAATATCATTAATGGATGATTAAATTCATCGATATGTCAATTTTTGTTGATAGCTGATTTACAAACAATAACAAAGCATTGATTCCTTGTTGTTGTTTTTCCTGCAAATCAAACTTAGAGCCTCATATATGTGAAGAATGGGCTCTAACACTGAGTTACTAACCCAACCCAGCTTTAAGTCTCTGTCCTCTCACCCTTCTTTTGATTTTCCCCCCTAATTTGCCAACACAGGTAGTACAATAACATGATTCTCTTTCTTCTCTCCTTTCCTAGTGTCTCTGACCTTTTTCTGCTCTCACAGAAAAGAAATAAGACAATTTCTGTGCAACTAATTAGCACCTATGCTGTCTTCTGGAGAAAGATGCTCATTATCAGCAAAGATCTTTCTCCAGCAACCAAGTATAGGGTTTCGAACTTCTAGTAGGCCCTTCCAAAGATGTTCAGAAATGCTGTTCCCTTCAGAAATGTGTTATCTTGACATGTGAGTGAGTTATTAGATCATATCCAGAATTAACCATTTTCTTGAATGTTATCTATTTATGGCAGGGTAATGCCTCTGGTTTTGTCATATAAGTCACTCTCTCCTCAACTTATTAGACCCCTCTTTCTCTTGACATTCCAGACTCTTATTTTATTCATTAGTTAAAAACAAAACCCTCAGTATGTATCATTTACTCTTGAATTCATGAACATATAAATGTCTACATCTATGTAAACATGGAATAAATATAATTTTCTTACCTTCTTCAAAAACACCTGAAGTTAATGTCTTTGTTCCACTAAACCAAGAAAAACTCAAAGAGTAGACAAGTTTTTGTCCTATGCAAAGTCTCAGGATAAATTCAAAGCTATAGGGTGGGAAGAATATCTACCCTTGCATAAAAACATATAGATCAGTTCTATTACTGTATAAAGCTAGACAATATTAGCACTGTACCACTGTCCTCCCATTGTTCATTAATTTTCTCAACCGGGCACCAGTAACGTCTCACAACAAATTGTGAAACTTGTTGTTACTGTTTTTGGCATATAGAATACAATGGGGAGTTTGCCAGGCTCTGCAGTGTGGGTACCCGCCCACATGGTAGAGTTGGGCAATGTTAGCCTAAATATTTCTTTATATTTTCTAAATTTCTTTCTCTCTAATAGAACATACACTAGAATTGATTTAATCTGCAATCATGATAAAAAACCATGGAGATGCAATTTGTACTTATTGATTTGAAAGCATAATAGTTAGTTCACACTCAATTTTAGATGTAGACTGCAATTTATTCTACATAAACTTATTTTTGTAACTTTAAGCAGGAAAGGATTTGAAGTTTAAAGTGGTTATTTTAAATAGCTAATAATCCCATTCAAATTTGACTTACTAACCTCTTTTCACCTCAACCTTATTTCCACTTTTCCGTACTTCAAATTATCTTGTATATTAAAAACATATAAAGAAATATTTATAAATGATAGATACCAACCTATAGCATTTTAAAATGTGCTATAATAATAAATGCTTACTCATATAAATTAGTTCTATAGACAATGACTTATGAACCAAGTTTGATTAAATCAGTATATCCAATTAGCTTAGTGCATACAAACACTTTTACAAATGCCTATTTTATTTTATTATTATTTATATAAAGATAAACTAAATGCTATTACAAGCTACTCTGCTTGAAAAGAACATGACTTCTTAATAAAATGTAGCACTGTAGCGCTGTCCATCTGTTGTTCATCGATTTGCTCAAGCAGGCACCAGTAACGTCTCCATTGTGAGACTTGTTGTTACTGTTTTTTGGCATATTGAATATGCCACAGGGGGCTTGCTAGGCTCTGCCATGCAGGCGGGATACTCTTGGTAGCTTGCGGGCTCTCTGAGAGGAACGGAGTAATAAAACCCAGGTCGGCTGTGTGCAAGATGATTTTAAAGATGATTGCAAGGCAAATGCCCTACCTGCTGTGCTATCGCCCCAGCCCTAATAAAATGTAACTAACATAAATCTTGAAATTTTTAACAAACTGCTAAATGATTCTAAGCAATTTAAGATTTCCAAAGATTTTAAAGGAAAAAAGAAATGACTGTTATAGTAAATTTGGACAGTAGAATTCTCCAGCACAAACTGTAGAAAAAAAGAAATA